TCTGACATGAGAGACATTTTCGCATGCGACATAGTCAGAGTCGCAGTAATTGTCGGGCAGAGCAGCGAGAGGAAATCGTACAGCTCTGTCAGGCTCTCGGTGGGCAGTGGTGGGCGAGGAGTGCTGATCAAATTTGTTCTGGCCTCGGGGCGGGGCAGCCAGAGAGGGTGGCGATGACCCCATGTTTTGATAGGCTCCGCGGAGCCTGGCAAGGGGGGGGGGGTGAGAGAGTGTCAGTTTTAAAAGTCATTGGTACAAAACATGTCTTGTGAGTGGGTGGCGGGTGATCTGACGTCGTTTGCTCCTTTTTTCCTATGAAACAAGGCTAAAACAGCACACCTAAACATTGATGGCTTGTACCTCTACGAAATTTTTTTTATTGATGATAGTTGTAGATATCGCCCCTACCTCTACTTTTCGTGTTTGTTACTCTCTTGTCACATTTTTAATCATCGGCATTTATATGAGATAGATCTAGTTGAGTTTTAATTAAGCGCTGCAATATCTTACTAAAAGTACAAATCAAACCATGTCTTCCAGACTCCAGTCATGTTGCTGCGTCATCATTTCTTTTTTAATATAGGCTATTTATCAATGTGTTCAGTCTCGTACAGTAGTACTCTTTAAAGACTCTTTTGTCGTCATCTTTTTTGTTGCCATCGTTATTATTTTCACAATCACAATCCCTCTAATAAACTCCTCTTTCTCTTTTCTTTTATGACACAGAAAACGTTGGCTATGAAAGGGGGGGGGGGGATAATACTTCGATCGTTGATATAAATACATAAAGGAAAGCCTGAACATCCCTTTCAGAAAGGCTTTTTAAAAGTTGCATAACCCTCCTTGCTGTAAGAACAAGAACACCTAACAAACTGAGCGGAAACTCAATATTTGATAACATCTCTTGTTCAGGCTTATAAAGCGGCGCAGTTTCTCCCTGCGCGTACTTTCTAGACGAATACAAAGAAAAAAAACTAATTCTATTTGCCGCGTAAAAGTGCACTGGTGCAGTATAATAATACGTGTGTAGTGGTTTTCATTTGCTACATTTCCAAAACAGCTTGATTATTGGGAGAGGACGACAATGGCCGCCGTCAGCGAAATTTGTAAGCTCTGAGTTGATTTAAAAATACACATGCCGTTGATTTATCTGATTTGCTTGTTTGTTTCGGGAGGAAGGGTGGGGGGGGGAGGTATGAATAGCAGCTGAAACTATGCCGTAAGCGTGCAAAATCAGAGACAATTTTAAGTATATCATCCAAATAAAATCGTATGTCGTCCGCAGTTGCTTTTTTGTTCTTATTGTTTTGTTTTTAATAACCATGAATTTTTCCCTGAATAACATCGTATTAAGGCTGTATCATGACAAGAAGTTTTCAAGGGCCAGATTTCATATTGTTTTTTTTCCAAAAGCCAAAAAATCACCGTCAACATGCCTCAATGTTTAGACAGGAAAAACAAAGAAAAAATATAATATTTATTTCCCATGCGCACTTCTACCCAATATTCTTTTTTCCGTTCCAGACAATTACACAAACACAAAACACAAAAATGTGCCTTGAAAGCCATCGGCCAAGATCAAAAGCTGGGATACCTCCCTCTCTCTCTCTCTCTCTCTCTCTCTCTCTCTCTCTCTCTCTCTCTCTCTC